GTTCCTTCCCTGAGCCCCTAGGCACCTGGGTTCCTTATGCATGCCTGAGTGTCCATTTCCCCCCCAGCCCCACCCCACCCAAAATGCCTGGGTTTCCTACTGCCCAGATGCCTGGGTTCCTGCCTCTTTGGGCACCTGGATTCTCTGCCCCCAGTCACCCAGGTTCCTGTTCTGCTCCAGACACCTGGGTCTTATCTTTAAATGGGTCTTGGTGGGTTGGAGCCAGGAGGTCTTGTTGGGTTGGGAGCCCAGATGCCTGAGTTCTCTCCCTGCCCTGGGCCTCAGACACCTGGGTCCTAGCTGCTCCCTCCTCTCCCTGCACCACAGGCCCTGGCCTGGCCTTCATTGCCTACCCACGGGCTGTGGCACTGATGCCAGTGGCACCACTCTGGGCTGCGCTGTTCTTCATCATGCTGCTCATGCTGGGCCTGGACAGTCAGGTGTGCCTGGGTGTCTGGGTTCCCTGTTGGGCGGGGAGGGGACGGGGATGGGGACAGGGGGAAGCAGACGCCTGGGTTTCCTGGAGTGGGGATTGGGTGCCTGGACACCTGGGTATCTTGGGGGGCTGGGGCCTGGACACCCAGGTTCCCTGCACTGGGGGTTGGCTGCTTGGACATCTGGGTTCACTAGGGCGAGTACCCAGATGCCTGGGTTCCCTGGAGTGGGGACACTGGGACACCTGAGTTCCCTAGGGTGGAGGCCCAGATATCTGGGTTCCCAGGAAGTAGGGGCTTGAGTGCCTGGGGTCCTCTGTGTTCAAACCCTGCTCCCCCCCACCTCATGCCTGCAGTTTGTGGGTGTCGAGGGCTTTGTGACTGGCATTCTGGATGTGGTACCACCAGCCTATCAGTTCCGGTTCCAGCGCGAGGTCATGGTTCTGCTATGCTGTCTTGTTTGCTTCTGCATTGACCTCTCCATGGTCACTGAGGTGGGGTTGTGGGTCAGGGGCATCAATATGGGGTGGGATGGGGGGCTGTGGGTTGAGAGTGAGGGGGCCCATGGATTGGGAGTGAGGGGTACCACAGGGTCTGGAGGGGCTGCAGGTCAGGAGTGAGGGGCATGGTGTGCTCACTTGCCCCACCCCTGCCCAGGGCGGCATGTACGTCTTCCAGCTCTTTGACTACTACTCAGCCAGTGGGACCACGCTCCTGTGGCAGGCCTTCTGGGAAAGCGTCATCATTGCCTGGGTCTATGGTGAGTCCCCATGGGGGAAGGAGGGGCTGCGAGTCAGCCGTGAGGGGCACCATTTGTGGGATGGGGGGCTTTGGGTTAGGAATGATGGACACTGGATGGGAGTGAGGGGCACTGGGTTGATGAGAGAGGCTGCTGGTTAGGAGTGAGGAGTACCACGAGGTTTTTGAGCCACCCACTACCATGGCCCTCCCCTTCTGGAACAGGCGCTGACCGGTTCCTGGATGACGTGTCCTGCATGATTGGCTACCGTCCTAGCCGCTGGATGAAGTGGTGCTGGATGGTGCTGACGCCCCTTGTCTGCCTGGTACCACTCAAATGCTGGGGTTCTCTGTGGAGGGTGGCAGCTAGGAGGTGGGAGCAGGGAGCCTGGGTTGTCTGGGGGGAGGGGGAGAAGGGGGAGAGGCCTGTGGGTGAGAGCCTGGATGCCAGGGTTCTTTATGGGTGCTGAGGGGGGTTGTGGAATGCCAGGGAGAACCCAGGTGTCGAAGAGCAGCATTGGAGGGGAGCCAGGGCCCTGCTCTAGGAGCCCAGATGGAGGAATCCAGATGCCTGGGTTCACTGCCCACCCCTCCTCCCCTCCAGGGCATCTTCCTGTTTCATGCAGCATCTTACCGGCCACTGACCTACGGTGGGCGCCACACCTACGTCTACCCCTGGTGGGCCGAGGCTGTGGGTTGGGGCCTGACCCTCTCATCTGTGCTCTGCCTGCCAAGTGCTGCCCTTGCCCAGCTGCTGCTCCAGCCCGGGCCCCTGCCCCAGGTTAGCCCTGCTGGGCCAGGGGGATGGTTGGAGGGCTTTGTTCTTTGGGCAGGGAGTGAGGACCAGGGATGAGAGCCCAGACACCTGGACTCTCTGGGGGGCAGTGGAGGCTAGGTGCCTAGATGCCTGGGTTCTCATCATAGAGGGGGGTGCCAGGAGGGAGGGAGGGAGGGGTACTGTGTGTGGGGGAGGAACCTGGACACCTGAGTTCTCCGGGCAGGGAGTAGGGGCTGGGGGGTGAGAATAGTGGGGGCTGGAAGCCCAGACACCTGGGTTCTTACCGTGGACAGGGCTGTGGGTCAGGAATGAGGGGCACCATAGAGCTATAGGAGGGGCTGTGGGTCAGGAGTGAGAAGCAGTGTGGGTGGGAGGATGGGAGCCTGGTTGCCTGGGTGGAGGGGAGTTGGGGGTGGGACCGAGGTCCGGGTTTGTGCCTGGATCCATGGGTCCCATTAACCCTTTCTTTCCTCCTTCCCTGACCAGCGCTGGCGCCGCCTGACTCAGCCTGTGTTTGGGCTCCATCACCTGGAGTACAAGGTGCGGGGGGCCAGCGGGGGCCCAAGCCCTGTTGAAGATGGCAACACCAAGGCTGTTATCCTGGAGAGCATCATGTGACCTCTGACTGCCTGCTCCCCACCTCTCCTCCCCACCACACCAGCAAAGTGTGGGCATCTTCCCTACCCCCCCCCATTCAGTGCCATGTCTATAGCTCAGATGCCATGGAGCAGAGCAGGGCCTGGACACCTAGGTTTCCTCCCCATTCTGGGATCCTGGACACTTGGGACTTCCTGACCCACCATACTCCCCCTGCTCCCAGCCTGAGATAGGGGCAGAACTTGGATGCCTGGGTTCCTTCCACAAGCTGACATTGGGCCTTGGAGCTCAGATGCCTGGGTTCCCTCCCCAGCCTGGGTTCTGCCCCCAGTTTGAGACTGGGCTTGGGAGCCTGGATACCTGGGTTCTCTGCAGGAAAAAAGCCATGAGGAAGATGCTAGATTTTTTTTTTGTAAGGAGAAAGAGCAATTAATTACTTAAATCAGCCAATTCTATTATAATGGTTTTTTTTTTCAAAAATAGAATGAAAAGGGAACTTATTTTTTAAATTAAAATCTTTGTTATTGGGTTGAGGTGTGGTGGTGGGACACCTGGGTTCTCTTTGGGCTCTGACAGAAGAGCAGATGAGAGCAGGGGACCCAGGTGCCTGGGTTCTTTTTTTCGCTTGAGGCCGGGGGGGCAGGGTGGGGTGGGCGGCAGGCCTGGACACCTGCATTCACTCCTGGCTTTGGGAGGGGAAGAGTTTGAGACTAGAGGAATGCAGAGACCTAGGTTCTCCCCCCACTTGACTGCAGGGGGCAGGGGCTGGCTCTGGAAGGCCCCCAGTTGGCCACATAGAACAACCTGGGACGTGGCTGGCTCCACATCCCATTCCCAGCCCAGCACCTGCCACGAGCCAGGTACGCAGATGGCAAGGAACCCAGGCATTTGGGCAAAAGGTGTGAGGGGACAGGGAGGGGAAGGGTGAGGGGGGGCACCCTTAGGCACCTCCATCAGCTGATTCTTGTTGGGTTTTTTTAATTGCTTAATGAAGGGGAAGAGACCCCCCCTGTTAATTAGCTCAATGATATGTAAATATATGCATCTCTGCTGCTTGGAAGCAACTCCTTAAAACCAATGAATTTGTTAAAGGGGGTGAAGGGGCAAATAAAGAGGGGGGCACATTTGTCCAGGCTCACTGAAGAACCCAGCTCATTGCTGCCTGCATAATCATGACAGGAGGGTGGGGAGGGAACCCATGGAAGCATGGTCCTTTGCAATTGCACTGCTTCCTGCCTCTCCAACGGCAAGACTCCCCCCTCCCCCCACCTACTCCTGGGGGGGGCATTAAATACCCAGCAAAAGGCCCTGCTGACGGGCAAGTTACCCCTTGGGGTCAGATTGGGGGTAAGACCCACTCCAAGTAACCCCCAGAGTCAAAACCCACCCAACTATCCTCCATGGGGGCAAATACCCACACCAACAACCCCCTGGGGCAAATACCCAAATGCCATCTGTGGAGGGCAAATACCCCCATCTCTACATAAAGCAATAAACCCCCATCTCTACATAAAGCAATAAACGCTGATGAGTGTCTAAGCTGCTCCAAGTCTGTGCATATGTTTTAAGGGGCAGGTCGTGGGCCTAGATGCCCCAGTGCTCATCCTGGCTGGGAGATATGCATCTGAGTCCCCAGCATGGCTCAGGCCCTGAGTTCCCTACCAGGGCAAAGGGAACTTGAGTGTCCTGGGAAAAGATGAAGGGTTGCGGGGGAGCAGGGCCGAGTCAGAGCCATGGGATGCAACCATGTGAGGGTCACTAGGGATCTGTCCCAGTGGGAGAGGGAGGGGAGATTCCAGGCCATGACTAGCTAAGATGAGAAATGGACTTGGGTTTCTAGGCTCTCAGCTCTGCCCCTCCTCCAGAATAAGGGAGGGAACCCAGATGGCTGAGGTTCCCTGAGTCACAGTCCTCACCCAATAGCAAGAAAATAACCCAGGCATTGAAGCTGGGCCTAGCCAGGGAGTCACACTCCACCCCACAGAGAATCTAAGTGTCCAGGCTCCCAGCCCCATCCCCACTAAGAAAACCCAGGCAACTACCCTCCCCCTGCACACAGAGTCCAGTTAGCACCTGGTTCCCATGTCCTTTATTGAAGCCAAAAGCACTGATGCTGTTAAAAAAAAAAAAAAAAAAAAATCCCTGGGGGGGAAGACACAAGCCCACAGGGGAGAAGGGGAAACCAGGCTCCCCCAACTCCTGTACAGAGCAGCTCTCCCCCCACAAACTAAGAAGGGGGAGGGGCAAGGCTGTGATGGATGGAGCTCCCCAGGACCCAGAGGGGGGTGGTGATGACATGGAGAAGGCAGGGTCTTCAGCAGGCCCCCACACAGCAGCAAGGGAAGTGCTCACTCTTCCTTCTTGTCCTTGGGTCCAGAGTGCTCGGCCTGGGGTGGGGCGGGCAGATAGAGGAGAATCAGGAGGGACATGCCCCTCACACCCGTCATACAGCCTGCCCATTATTCTCACTTGCCAACATGCAGCTTGTATCAGCCCAGACTTGTTCCACTGCTCCCTCCCCCACCCCACCCCAGCCTGCCTGGTGCTGCCCCACCCCTGGGTGGCTCCAGGCAGGGACAGGGTCCAGGAGTCTAGCCAGGCACCACGCCAGCCCCCTCCCACCCCACGCACGTAGCTTGGGCACAGGACACCAGGGAGGTGATAGGGAAGAGGGGGAGAGAGAGCCCAGCATGGTCCCTCATTCCTGGCATGCAGCCCCCCATGGCCCCACAATGTTCCTTAGCCCCCCAATTTCCCTGTGGTGCTCCACAGGCCTCCAGCCCCCTCCCCTCCCCCCAGGCCCAGCGCCAGCTTAGGGCTCAGGTGACAGCTCAGGTTCCCACCCAAGTACTATAAATAACCCTGGGCACAGAGCCTGGGGAGGAGGGGGACTGCGGGTTAGGAAGGGCAGGGCCTGGAGGGGGCAGGCCTCCACCCAACTCCACTCCCTTGGCTCTCAGGCACTCCAAGACCAACAGGGCTGCTCTACCACACCCCTCTTCGCCTGGCCATGCCTTGCCCCTCCCCTTGGCCTTGCCCCTCACCTGCAGCTTGGCATGCTCCTCCAGCAGCCGGTCATACTCCTTGGTCAGCCCCTCAGCCTGGCACCGCATGGCCTGGACCTCGTTCTCTGCCTTCTCCAGGGCTGGAGACAGGGCAGGGGGAAGACCCTATTAGCCAGGAACAGGGGGCTCCACCAGATCCCTGGAGGAGCTGGGAGAGCCCCTTGCCCTGGCCTCAGACTTGCAGGGTAGCCCAGATGATC